TAGGACGTGGGCACTGAATGTGTCCCCAGCCGGCATTGTAATAACCGTCGATGGTTACATAGTTATACGCTGGAAGAGGAGATCGGAACGGAGGTCCGGATAGCGTAACTGGCAACGCATCTGCACGGTAAGCAGGAGTTGTGGGTTCGAGTCCCGCTCCGGGCCGATTTTTTCTCCCAGCGGTTCTAAATTATTTAAATTAATTAATTAATTTATAATTATTAATATTAATAAGAGATGGCGCCTAACGCTTACCTCTAGTGCCAAATTTATTACGTAATTTATTTAATAATTAGCATTAAACTAGCCCGATAGATTTTCGGCATTCTGTTGGTATGTAGCTATATTGTATATCGGGTTTGGAGATGTTTATATACATAAAATACTAAACCTTGTTATAATTATCTGTTCATGTTTCACTCTCCATCAGTCTTTTCTACCAGAATAATATGCTTCCTTCAGCTGTTTGGTATCACCTATTAATTTTGTCACTTTAGTGTGATCTGATAAAATATAATGCACTTGTGTTCCTCACTTGTTGGGAATTTTAGCTGTTAGAACTCAGTTTCTTTTCTAGAATTCTAGAATAAGCTATTAGAATTCAGTTTCTTATTTTCTTTAATTTATAATTTATACATTTTTAATGTGAGGCAGACTCCAACTCCTTTTTACTTCCCAACTTGTTATGTGTATAAAACGGAAAAGTATTGGAATCATGTCAAATTCGATCCTCCAAGTATTTTTTTGCAAATCTACACATTTGGAGACCTCCCAAACCCCTCAAAAAAGTCAATAAAAGGGGAAAAATTGTGTGTGTTTGTTGGCATCTAATTTGTTTAATTTCTGTTCTGAGATATTAAACAATATCTCAGAATGGGTAAAGTTTAAAAAATGAAATGTGGCACTGTAGCTTATGTATAAAGGGGCATTAATATGATTAAATTTTGGTTCTTAATTAAAGGTCGACAGGGTGAAGACATAAAAGTGGTCATGTGTCATATCTCTTAATGAATATTTTACTCGTTATTAGCGTTCAAAATTTAATAAAAAAAATAAAACTTGTCTTTACCGTCAAAGTAAGCTTTTTTGTCATTTTATAATAGTACAGTAAAACCCGTTAAGATGTTCTCACCTAAGATGTTAGAATGTGTATTATTTAGTTCAACCACTTTGACGCTTAATAACTAACTCCTGTTTTAAACCAACTGACTCTGATTTTGATCACTCTGACCACAGAAATAATTAGGCTTCACATGGGTGAACAAAATCATGCCCCCACACACAGTCTAACATCCACACATATAGAAAAAATCTCGAATCTGTTGCATATCTCAAAATTTCGAGGTGTCCTGAGTCCAAAATTGTAAAAATTTGGGAAGGGTCATTTTTTGACCGAGCACTACACTTTCCCCGGAAAAGTAAAAATTATCAAATACATATTTATATATTACTTAGAGGAGTCTTTTAGCTTTGGAATAAAAAGTTTCTACATTCTATCTTTATTAGAACTTTATTTATTGAATCTTTTATTCTGAGTTCATGTGATGACATCAGAATTTCAGGGTCTCTTTCGGTAACAAGTCCGCCCCTGGTCAGAGTCGGTAGATTTTTACACGACTCCACAGCCCTGGTCTTAACCAGTGGTTTAAATGTTAAATATTAATAATTTTAATAATTGCTTTCACAAGGAGAGCTTACAATGTGATCCTTGGGGATTTCAGTCATACTGTTTGTGTGGATATGCCTTGCTCCATTAAAATTCCATTGGTGGGCCTGGCCTGTTGTTGGCTATGATCTTGCTATGAACCTTTATTTTATTATTCAAAGGGAGAAAGTGTGATGCTCAACTGTTTTCAAGAAAATTGAATTTAAAAAATTTTGAGTGACTTTGAGAATAAAATGTGTTGAATCTTTCAGCAAAGGTGCTTCTCAGCAGCAGTGAACCTTACTCATATTGCAAACTCACTGATTTGTCTCAATGAGTGAATTTCTCAAATCAATGCAATTTTTACAAAAAGTAATTGTGAATTTTGTGGGTTTATACGTTTTGTCTATTTATTTTCTATTTAAAAAGTGCATTTTTGTCTTCTTTGAAAATTCATTTTCAGAATTAAAATCTAAAGCTGTCTATTAAAAATAGTTTTTACATTTGGAATGTAAGAATATGAATAATTTAACATTTTGAGTAGTTAAATAAATTCAAAAAATTATTATTGGGCTACAATTTGAAAAACTTGTAGACCTATAAATTCCCACTGTTGTCCATTGTCTTTCCTTAATCTCAAGAATGGAATTAGATAGATATCTGGTCTTAGATTTTATATACAGGGGCTGTAAGGTACAACCTTAGGAGCTGGAGGCCCCATTTAGCTATATATGAACTTCAAATTCAAATTGGAAGTCATATGTTATTTCAATTCAAAAATTTTTCCCTGAAAGGTATTAGATGACTATCACTATTGTTAAAGGAAAAGTATGGTGTATAGGGGTAAGTTGCTACTAATTTGAGGTTGAGAGAATATATTTTAAATGAAATAAATTTAAAATATGATTAAAAATTGCAGCCTGGCATTGTGACAATGTCACAATAAATAATTGCTTGTTTGTAACTAATTCCCACTATCAGATTGTGTGTGACGGTAAACACTCATTTTTGAATGTCATTTCATTGGTTTCTTATCCTTTGTAGTGAGGGTTAGTCAGATATGGCGTTATCACAATGTAGTGGAGAATAAACGTGGGAAATTTTTAAAAAATTTTCCCACACGTTTTTTTCATGTTCGTTTCAGAAAAAATTTTTAAACAGTTACGTCTAGTAAAGAAAAAATCTTTCTTTGTTGTCACATAATTCCTTTTTAGGTGAATTTTTTTTCGTGCTAATTTTTGACTAAAATTTTCTTGTGGATATTGACGTTGTTTTCCAGTGCCACGTGATCGCCCTTGACAGGTATATCCATTGATTACTGCAGAGTGGTTATTGTTTATATTGTAAATACTTTTCCCTTTTCATAGCTAATAAAACAAGCAGACAATAAAAGAATAATAAGTAATAAGAATAAGTAAGAATAATAAAATCTTAAAATATAAATAATTAATTATTTGAGTTTTAAAAACAAATTTTGACAGATAACAATTCTGAAAACAAATTTTCAAAGAGAAATTGCACACTTTTTAATAAAAAATTAAAGACAAAATGTATTTTTCACAACAAATTAGTAAAATTGCTAAAGAATGGCAGTGGGTAACTCAGTCAAATTGATTATTATCAGTATAGATGAATCTTAAAGTGATGGCAATAAGTGGATTCTGCTGTAATGTGAAATACTATTGTGAGCATGCAAGATGATGTTATGATACTTTTTTTGTCATTTGGTATGAATTAAAACGTCTAGCAGCAATCCGTGTGTCATCATCTGTTTTCATTTGCAAATAGACACTTGTTTTGTGTGTAAAGCACTTTTGTGCTGGCAATTTTTCAAAGTATCAAGTTTAATTGAGCAAAGAATGTGCATTAAATTTTGTTTTTGCAATGAAATACTGTCATAAGAATATTGGAAATGTTACAAAAAAGTCTTTTTGGTGGTTATAGTCTTTCAAAATCAAGAATTTTAGAGTGATACAAGATGTTAAAGAAAGGCAGAGATTATGTTGAAGATGAACAACACATCACTCAAGTCAGAGGTTTGGTGCGTGATGATTGTTGTTTAACAGTTAGGGACGTTATTGAGTATGTATCAGTGGTACATTGCTTCTAGAATCATCCCAAAAATGTTGAATTTTTCCAAAAACATGTTCAAGTGGCTGAGGAAATTCTTCCTTGGGGTGAATTGTTCTTAAAATGCATCATTATGAGTGATGAAACATGGATCTACGCTTTTGACACAAACAGCTCAACGATTGAGTGAATGGCATTTGAAAGGTAAAGCAAGACTGAAAAGACCACATCAAAGTTAGTCAAAAATCAAGGACATGTTGACTATTTTGTTTGATTGTCATGGTATTGTTCATTATGAATTCCTTCAACTGACCAAACTGTCAACAATAAATATTATTTGAGCATTTTGCATATTTGTGTGAATAAATTCATAGAAAATGGTCTAATTTGTGGGGAGAAAACTCATGGATTTTGCACCACAATAATGAACCTGCTCACAATCTTGTTCCTGAGTTTTTTGGCCAAAAATTCAACAAATATGGTTCCACAAGCTCTGTATTTGCCTTATAAGGCATTGTGTGACTTTTTCCTGTTTCTTCAACTAAAATTTCTGCTTTGTGGTCACTATTTTGAGTCAATTGATGCCATAAAACAAAATTCACTGAGTCCCAAAGGGGTTTCACAAAAATGACTTTTAAAGCGTTTTTCAAGGGAAAATGTTGGCTTAAGTGCATTGCAGTGGGAGGGGATTAATTTGAAGGAAACAAAATAAATTTTGAAGAATAAATTCAAATCTTGCATTTTATTGAACCATTCCCAATACTTTTTGATCATGTGGGTATATTTAATTTATTGTTAATTTTACTATAACTTTAACTTTGGTTTTAAACATTTTTGTATTTAAAATAATGCAAATGAAACTCTTTTAGAATTTATTGACTTCAAAAATATTAAGTACACTTGGAAAAATTTGAGTTTAATAAATGTAATTTAATTTTTTTTTAATAGGTAATTTCACAAAGATGAAGGAAGAAAATGGACTAGATTCTGCTCCAAATGTATCCATTAAAAGAAAAGCTGAGGATGAACAAGAGTCTCCTCCAAAACGTCAGAAGAGGAAGAAACAAAAAACTACAAGACCAAAAAATGCTTTAATGAGGTTAAATGAATTGAAACCAGGTTTGCAATATATTATAGAATCACGAGAAGGTCCACCTCATAATCCTACATTTGTTGTTTCAGTGGAAGTTTGTGGACAAAAGTTTACAGGTCGCGGCCAATCCAAGCAATTAGCCAAATGTGCAGCTGCTCAATGTGCTTTGGATGATGTTTGTGGAAGTGATTTAACAGGTGATAATATAGAAAATGAAACTGGTGCTTTTAATCAGTCTGAGGGAGGAAAAAAAATTAAAATGGATTTAAGTAAAGAAGAAGCAGAAAAAAGATTAGAAAAAATTAAAACAGAAGCTGAGGATAAGAATCCAGTTATGGTATTAAATGAATTACATCCAGGAATTGAATTTATATTAGTAAAAGAGAATGTAGCTCTACCCGCACAAAGATTTACAATGAGTGTTGAAATTAATGGAACAACGTTTGAAGGGTCTGGTCCAAATAAAAAATTAGCAAAAGCTGCAGTATCAAGAGTTGCTTTAAGCAGTTTATATAATATTAATTATAATGTAACTTCAACAACAAGCCAAGGAATTTTACCAGAAGAATTTATTTTCCCACAGTCAATAGCAGATAAAATATCTGATGTAATTCACAAAACATTTCAAGAAGTGATGGTCGACAATGTTGAGTATGCAAAATGGAAAGTGTTGGCAGGAATTGCCATGACTTCAGACCCTGAAATGAATAAAATAAAAATCATTGGTATCAGTACTGGCACAAAATGTATTAATGGTGAACATATCAGCATGAATGGTGTTTGTTTAAATGATTGTCATGCAGAAATCATTTCACGGAGATGTTTGAAAAATTTCTTGTATTACAATCTAGAAATGATTTCAGCTGGCTTGAAAGAAGATTCCATATTTATGCCAAATGAAAATGGTGCTGGTTATTGTCTTAAACCAAATATAAAATTTCATCTTTATATCAGTACTTCACCTTGTGGTGATGCCAGAATATTTTCACCACACGAAGAAGCAACTTCTAAGAATCCTGTTGATCATCATCCGAATCGCAAAACTAGGGGTCTTTTGAGAACAAAAATAGAATCTGGAGAGGGAACCATTCCTGTCAAAAGTGGGGATGCTATCCAAACTTGGGATGGCATTATTCAAGGTCAGCAACGATTGTTAACTATGTCATGTTCAGACAAAGTTGCTGCTTGGAATATTGTTGGCATACAAGGAGCACTACTAAGTTATTTTATTGAGCCTATTTATCTGGAAAGTATTATTCTGGGAAGCTTATTCCATCCTGGTCATATGCTTCGTGCCATGTGGGGCAGATTTGAAAATTCTTTGGGTGAGTTGTCCAAACCTTTTAGTTTAAACAAACCTAAGATGTGTTGCATAACAAATCCCGAAACACGTCAACTTTCAAAATCACCAAATTTTAGTGTTAACTGGATTGTTGGATTTGGAAAACCCGAAGTTATCAATGCGACTACAGGAAAATTAGAAAATGGCGAATTTTCAAGATTAAGTAAAAGATCCTTCTTCGAACGTTACAGTGTGTTATTTAGTAAAATTTCATCCGTCACAAAGAAAAAGACTAAGAAACCACCACAGTTATATTCTGAAGCCAAAAACTCTGCTCCCCATTATCAAGCAGCAAAAACAGAACTGCGAAAAGCATTTATGAAAGCAGGTTTAGGAACTTGGGTACAGAAACCAGAAGAACAAGATGATTTTGATTTAAGTTAAACTTCTCCATACATTTCAAGATATATAAATATATATATATAAATACATTATATTGTATATTTTAAATCAGTCATCTTTGAGTCTCAGTTGTAAAACTTTGTGAAAATCATCACAAGAAATAGTTTTATGGCATTACTTCTTCACTTAAATTGCTTTTTATATGCTGTAACACTTAATTTGATCAACAACACATCACATTAACCCGATAAATATAAATTAATACACAACCAACCATCAACCGTAATAATCTTATCGTATTAAATTAATTTGATTGTTACAATGATTGATTTTAATATACTTCGTTACAGTTATGTAACTGTAGCTGTAAAGATATGAAGATACGATCATGACACTGAAAGTTCAACAATATTTGTAAGAACTTTTAAATAAACTTTTCACTGCACATAAAAATTTAAGAATATGTTTTAGTGGCTACATAAAAAATTATTGTTGAAAAAACAATATCAATGTTAAGAGATTTCACATAATAAACGGTTGATTTTTATTAAGATAAATATTTGTATTATTGTATTCCATATTGTGATTATTTCATAATTAATCTTTAAGTACACTTTTCAGTGTAGAGGATTCAATGTGTTATCCTTGCTGTTGTGTAATATTTCAAAAATGTGCCTTTCTGTCATTCCATTTGAAATCATTTAGAATGTGGAAACTGTAGTGATTACAGTGATTTAGAATTGTAGAAAGATATAAAATGAATATCATTGTAATTAGGAAAAATCATTTTATAATAATTCATTTAATCCTTCCTAAATCCTTCAATGATCATCTGAATATTTCCATTTTATAGAATGGAATAGAAAGAAGAATTTAAGTTTTCAGAATAAAATTGTTGAAATCATATGTGCATTTAATTTTGTAATATTCTATCCTGTTTAACATTAATTCTGTGAAAATTTTGATTTGTATCCTTAAAAAAATTATATCATATAAGATCTCATTTTGAACTAGATTTGGAGAGGAACAAAGTTTATTAATTTGTACTTACAAATTAACAAAATTGTTTAGTAGTATAAGAAAGTCATGACAATTTTATTAAAAATTCCACTGTTGTCACATGAAAAATACATGAAAAGTTGCAAATATGTATTTGCAGTGTAAATTGAAAGAATTGAGTGAGATGATGCAGATGCTAATGAGCAATGAAACATTGTATAGAAGAAAAACATTTTATTGACTCTAAGAAATAAGATACTGAAAATTAGCACCATTCACTTCAGTACATAGACTAATTTCAAATTCAGTTATAACAAGAATAACATGCTGCTGTTTGCTATCAATGTTAATGAAATGAATGGTACTCAGTTGAGCATCTTATTTAATCTGTAATAACTTAGTAGTCAATAAAACTTTTCTTATATGCCATATTTTGTTGTTTTTTTGGCATTTTGTCTTATGTGTTCTTTGTGAATATTAAAATAATCACTCAAAGGTTTATTTCTTATTCTTAAGTAGAAAAATTTTAAGTAAATGACCATATTTTGTGAAAAATATTGCTTATTTAGAACATTATTACTGTAATTTCACACACACACACTTTGGGTTTCAATTCTATAATATTTCACTATACTCATTTAAGATTATCATTTTTAATGAGTTAAATTATATAAATATATTTTTATTTATATAATTTAAGAAAAACATAGTCTGAAGAATAAAGTAATTTAAATATTCTGAGAATTATTGCAAAATAATAAATTAGCATAAAGTGATGAGTATTTTGCAATTACATATTTCTGTGATATTATTAGAAAGTGACAATTCCACTAATACAAAAAAAATTAGACACTTATTTCAGTTGTTTTATTCTGAAGTTTTTAAACCATTATTTCTTATTCCATTTACTTTTTTTAAGAACTAAAGATATTAGAAAATAGTTAACAGTTGAAGTTTTCAGTTAGTAAATTGAATGGCAACAGTATCTCTGAATCCTTCAAAACACTGATAGTAGAATTTAAATTAAAATATAATATGGAAGATTTGAGAAATTTATATACTGTATAATAGCAAATAAAGTATTCATATTTTGATTATTCTAGTAATTATTAAATGAATCAATACAAATGAATAACAAAGTTCCAAGTTTTGATTTAATCAAAAGAATCAATACAAAGTTTATAAAAAAGTTTTGTAAAACTAGATGATATAAGGGAAGATCCAAAAATAACCAGTCTTTTGGCTTATTTTTTAAAAGTTAATTTGTAAATTTGGGAGATCGATTAAAATATACTTTAAATATTGTCATTTTCGATCTGCCCTTATAAAAATCAAATTACGAAAACAAAAAAACTGCTAATTGCTGCGGAAGTTTGATTTTGCATGCAAACGACTCAATTTTTCAATAGTAGTATAGGTCAAAGCATCAATTTTTTGTTATGCATTTTGATTATCAATTGAAGTTCAAAGCTGCTTGATGTGTATATAATTAAGACTGTTTACATGGCTTTTCATTGATATGCAACATACAAAGACTGGCTAAGGTAAAGCTAAATTAAAACACATCATCAATAATAATAGTATTTTACCTATTACAAAATGTATTGAAATGTTTAAAACGCTTAATAAATTTTAATGTTTTAATTATTTTTCAAGTTAATACTGTATGTGAAAATAAAAACAATATTGTCTGAAATCTATACAGGCTGTTTCAAAATTGTCTACAACTTTGTAGGAGAATCTATTGAAATATGCACAAATTTAGCTATATACATCAAGTTTCATTTAAGTAAACTTTCGAACTACTATGATTTCCAAGACGATGGATTGGTTAGATTTTTCTTGTAGGGATTTGTTAAAGATCAAGTGTATGTGCCACCCTTACTTGCAAACATGCCCAAACTCAACCATTGCAGTTGCTACACCACATATAGAAAGAAATTGTCTCCAGTGGGACATCTGCTGCATAACAAATGGAAGTCACATTGAATCATAAAAATCCAATTGATATAAAACTTGACTATATTTCAATGTTCTAAAATTGTTTCTTCTATCATTTCAACAATATCTCGCCCTCCAGTTGTAAAGCTATTTTTGAAACACCCTGTATTAATTGAAAGTGATAGATACAAGAATATTAGTTGAAATGGGTGGAATTATAAATTTTGAATGCTAAAAATAGTGATCCAGTGTAAGAAATTAATCATATTCTATAAATTAATACTGGTGAATTACCTAATTGGGGTGATTACACTAAGAAGTTTTTTATAACTATAGGAAAAATATTTCAAAAACCTTTATGAAAACAAAAGTAAGAGAAGTATATACAAAAAAAGAAAATATAAGGAAAATAGGAGATGCAATTAATTAAAGAATATTTGTAATGCTAGATAGATATTCTCAAAGAAGAAATAAAAGAAATGTTTATAAGACCTCAAAAGTAAGTAATAGTCGATCATCCGAAATATTGCAGATAATACATTTTTATGAAGTAAAATTTTAAATTCAGAATAAACACTTAGGGCACGTTGCATAAAAGTGGCTATAATTAATTAATACAGCTATCATAAACCCCACCATCATCGACAACAATAGTACAGATATGATGAATGAAATTGAGAATTGAGGTGTTCTCCCTTTTTGTTATTTGCGCGGTGGACTGTTTCAAAATATCACAGGATGGTTCATTATTGGACTATAATTTCCAAATTGCAGACGTGCATTCCTACCATCGTCCGTCCTTTGTTAATTAATCTCGAGAACGGAGTGAGATAGATGAAAATCGAGACCAGATATGGAAAGCTTAGGGGACAGAAACCCGTTTAATTATACAGAACTTCCGGTCTGGACGAGAAGTCAATTTCAATTTAAAATTTTCTCGAGAACAAAGGCAGCTGGCCGTCATGACTCGATTGTTATCGGGAGAAGTATGATGTACAGGGGTAAGAGACGACTAAAATCCAAATTGGATAGGGGGGTCGGAGACCGCTAACCAGTGGCGTACCGTAGGGGCGGTCCGCCCCGGACGGCACTTTTTAGTGCGCGGCAAAATTTTACAATAAATAATAATATCTTGTAAAATTTTGAAACATCCTAATCTACACTTGCATCGCGCCTACGATAGTGCTATCGTCCGGACAGTCCGGGAATCGGCTCGCCGGGCGAACTATTAACTTTTTCATCCGAGGAGTTCCTGCAAAACCCGTTGACCATTTTTTTTTTGCTTGTACGATTCATTCGCGTTCATATACACCACTAATATCCAATAGAACTATTTTAAACAGGTCGCTGCACTACCACCGAATTTTTCATTGCTTGTTCTGTGACAAAACTGAATTTTGGTCTTTTAAATTGAAATACCTAAATAAGAGGGGGCCGAAATTTTCCTCCGCCCCGGGCGGCTGACACCCCGGTACGCCACTGGTGGAAGCGTCGCTTCCCTTGTATTTTCTAAAACGTAAAGATATATTGTGCGATTATTTTCATATAATTAAAATTAATATTTTATTATAACCACATTATGTATCTTATTACAAATTTCTATACTACATGTAAAACAAACGACAAGATTGCTATTGTATATTCGAATATCAGTGGCGAAATAGAAACGCTGTATTGTCGAATACGGGACAGCTTCCAAACAGCCAGATTATACGCATTCGTGCATACACTTTACAGAGCACCAACCTCGCGGTTTAACTAGTGGATGCCACACACCAAAATATCGTATAACGCTTCCAATGATTCTATCCAGGACCGGTTCAGGGCTGTTAGCCGCCTGCATGCTAGATATTTGGCCGCCCTCGCCCCATTATGTGAATCGCGAGTAGATTTATAACTTAAAATATTATTTTTGAAAGGAAATTTAAATAGTCCTTTTTCTCGCTAATTTCTAAAAATGTATTTTCCTCCCTTCTGCATCTCACATTAGCATTTATAATTTATTTTCATACCCTTAAAATTTTATTATACAGTAATTAAAAATATCAAAAGATTATATAACAAAATTTCATAACAGATGGCGCCACACACAATTTTATTTATTATAATATAATTAAAAGTATAAAAGTTATTTTCTAAATAAAATCTCACAACAGCCGAGAAAGTTACTCAACTCGTTAGTTTTGATCGATTCTTTTATAAAAACAGTTGCATTTCTTGAAACGAACGATCTTTTACTCAGTTTCAATATAGAAAAATCTATATTTGATTGTTTCGTGTAAAATACATACACGATATTTTCTATCGGTCAGGTGAATTCATAAAATTTGCTTATTTAATATACTAATTAACGTTTACGTAACTAAACCATAACACGCATATTTAATATAACCAACGTTCGATGACGTCAGGTAAGCGCTCTTAAAATGGCGTCGGATAAACGAAATATTACGAAATTCAGTAAAAATTGCACTGTCGGTCAATCGGAAACTTGGTCCGAAATTACTGGACGAACCAGAGGAATGATTTGTTCTAGTTTTGGGGGTGGCGACGTTCGATTATAGAAAATCTCGCTTCCAACCCCTTGTGGAGAATGGAAACCGAAGACAGAGGGTGATAGGGAGTCTCTCGATCCCAATCCGTCGTCATTCCGGGGATAGAAACGTAAAAAATGCAGATATTTAGCCTTAAAATTCAAAAAGAATCCATGACGTCAATCGCATTGGAATTCGTTACGCGCTTTTCTAATCTCCATAGAAACGGCAACAATTGCTGTTTCTATTGTTGCAACACGATTTTGCGTCACTTTGCACGTTTTTCGCTTGCTGTGAGGACGTGTGCGCTCTTTGCTCCTGTTTTCGCTGTGTTTTTTGCCTTCTTCAGTGTTCTTTTCTACCGGAACGTGGTTTTAAGAAGACTTGTGGACGCCGACGTTATACCAAGTAAGATTTTAACTAGAATTTATCTAGCTGTAAGATTTTATTTTCGTTTCGTTTAGTCCGACTTTCGGAGACGACATCGGCGTTTAAATCTGCCGTCGCTTGTGAATTAGGACTTTTAAACGAACGACCGAAGCGCCGAAAACGGATTAAGTATTTGCTCATTGGTTTATTCTCGTAATTAATTCATTTATATTTTATAAACACGGTCAAAGAATAAGGATTATTTATAGAAATTCAATTAAAAATTACTTAATACTAACTTTAAATACGAATTCCATCGTAATTTTAACTAAAATATACTCTGGTAACATTGATGGACGGAGACCGTATTCTGAAGCATGGGATGTTCGTTCGACAGGTCAAAAACTTCGCCCTTTGACCTCCGACTTCTCCATGCAATTTATGTATTAGTTTCAATGGAATTAAATTGTCTGCAAACACATCTAATACTAATACACTTAACAATTATCTATACAGGCTGGACACAAAGAATTCTTTTCCTTAGGCTCTTTGTCTCTTTCCACAAGGTGGTCTGAGTGCAGTCGATCTTCCACACTTACGTAACATTTAAGTGCCACAACGTTCGTGTCCCGAATGGGCACGTTTCACTTCTTTGTACGTTTGTCTTGTGTTTTGGTCGACTCGTTCGCAATTTCTTTGCACGAAACTCTTTTAAATGCCGTCGTTGCGTTTATGTGACGTACAGTACACGTTAGGGTAAATTGGTCTGGAACGAAACATTCGTTACCATTCGGGCTCGAGTGCCTTTTCCTTATGGCTACGTCTTTAATTTACAGTCGTACAAATACAAATTATACGTAAGAGAGTTTCTTCGTTCCGGGTCGGTCGTCTCTACTGCAAATACAATCGGAACGTTCTAGCAATTTCCGGTAGGATCTAACGCGAGCTATCCGAATTCCGATTCGTCGTGAGTATAATCTTGAACTTTTTCTGCGTTAATCGGTCCCAGAAGACATCTCGGCACGTCGTGCGATGGTCGGATTCGAATCTTTTAGATTTAAAAAGGCAGGTGCGGTGAGCATTTTGCTTGTGGGCGAGTGGTCTCCGTTGCCGCTCATAGCGGTGACCAGACCCTAAACACTGGGACCCACCAGTGGGCGAGTGGTCTCCGTTGCCGCTCATAGCGGTGACCAGACCCTAAACACTGGGAAGTTCCGGTCGTGGGTTCGCGCCGCGATCGGACAGGCTGGCTGCTTGGAGTTTTCCGGGTTTTCTCCTTGCCAATAACGACTAAATAGAAGGCCAGTTCCCCATAAAAGTCCTCCCGGAAGGCATTAATTCCCGCGCGTACGTATAGGCCGTTCGGATACGGCTGGCAAATCGGTCGCATAGCGATCATACACACAAATCTATTCGGAGAAAGAGCCTATATTGAGCTAAAATTTCCATATAAACAACACCGAAGAACAGAGAGAGAGAGAGCATTTTGCTTTTCTCGCAAGAATTTAGACATTAATTTAAGCCTTTGTTTTAATCGACTAATTGCAAATTTTCTTTTTTTCAGAATGAAGATGTTGGAGTGGTTTCGCCGGAGGTTTCGACGGAAGAATGCGGTGGCGCCGGAGGGAGGGGGTTCCTCGGACGGCTCCGATGAGACGTTCGAGGACCGTGGGCTCGACTGGGTCTCTGTCGAATCGATTAGTTCGGTGTCTTTGGAGACCGTCGAGCGAGAGGCAGAGGGTGGTGACGACCTTCCCCCAGTGCGTGTGGCGTGGGACTCTCCCGGAGGCGGGAGAGTTCTGAGTCCATTCCACTTGGTCAATGTCGTCAGGGATCAGCCGGCCACAAGCCTTGTTGTGGAAGACGTAGAGAGTGACGAGTTCTGTTGGAGTTCGACGTCACTTTCTACTTTCGCGTGGTCTGCCTCTCTGTACGCGCTCGCGAGCTGGTCGCCATCGTCTTTCCGAAGTCGGAACGGGGAAGCATCGGAAAAGAGCGCCGCCGAAGTCGAGGAACCGCGGTTTTGTTGCTGCGGGTGGCTGAGGTTCCCTCGGCCTAGGCGGTGATCCTCTTCGATTTTCCCCAACTCGTCCTTTGCATCCGGATGCGACATTCTGACCGGATTCGACACTTTTCACCCGGACATGACCTCTTTACTCAGACGTGACCTTCTCTTACCCGGATGTTCTCACGGACTTGTCTCCCGAACGTGACACTCGATCGATGACAACGGATTTGACTTCCGATTGTGACCACCCGAACTTGACACGTTTCTTCACCGGACGCGACATTCGGCCGACCTTTCTTCCCAAACAGCTGTTACGAGGATTGAGCTTCCGGTTAGGTTAGGTTAGGTTAGGCTAGGTTAGGTCAGGTCCTTCGCTCTCCTCATGACACTGTTCGGGAAGAAAGACTATCTGATAAAGGTAATAATATTGACCTTAGATAATAAATTAATCAACTTCTCCTTTTCTCACTGTCTTTGTGTTTTGTAGGAACATTTGGGAGGGAGAAGGATCTCCCTCCCCAACTTTACCACGAGGAAGACGAAGTGGCCATTTATCGTACAAGTGAATGTTTTCCGAAATCTTCGATGGTAAGAACGCTTTCGTTTCATTTTTTAACACATCTTATTCTCGTATCGTAATTTAGTATTTTTCTGTTTTTAGACATGCCGAAGATGTTCTTGGATCACGCACACACGCGCATACGCACGCACGCACGCACGCACGCACTGACATAACATCACTGTACACGAAGATATACACCGTTTAACCTTTACTCGAATTCTCGCACTCACGCATTTACACGTCAAGCGCCACGTTCTGTGTAATTCCACACAATNGCCTACCTCTAATATCTAATTACTTAGTTCCAATCATTTAATATAGCCATATTATAGCCCGATAATTAGGCGATTGTTTGGTGTTGTTATTATCTACTCGGGCTGTGAGTTGATGTTTATATACATCAAACCTATTTCATCATCTCCTTCATGACTCGATATGCGTGTTAATCCGCGGGTTATAAATCTGATTAACTGGTGTCATTATCCTGACGTTGGATAGAGACTCTGTAGTCTGTCTTATTTACTTACAACAAGCCCTCCTAGAAAAAGTTTAGTGGGCCAATCTAAACAATTGTGTGCCTGTAAGTGACATAGGTCAATTCTATTCCTTTGGCTCCTCACACTTTCATACATATAAACATCTTCTCAAAGCCTTATAATTATATTAAAGCCAAGTGATTACCAGATTAAATCAGGCTATGTTATTGCTAATAATTATTAAATACTAAATAATTTGACATTAGAAACTAAAGGTAAACATTAGGTACCATCTCTTATTAAATTAAATAATTTAGAAATTTCTGGAAGAAAAGAATTGCATTTGCCTCATCTGTATGGAATGTGACAGTTGCCAGTTTGAATCCCACTCGAAGTCAATTCTTATCTTCCAGAACTTTTAAAGTTATTTAATAAATATTAATTTATTTATAATTATTAAATTTAATAAGAGATGGCATCTGACACCTGCCTACAGTGCCGAATTACTCAGTATTCAATAATTATTAGTAGTGGTAATGTAGCCCAATTTAATCTTGTAATCATTTGGCAAATATTTACTTCTCAGACCATGAAATTTATTCAATATTCATAACTTGTTATCAATACTGATTGTATTAATAGAATGCACTGATTATTCAACAATTAAATACCATTTCAAACTCACTTTTGATTATTGAGTAGTTATAGTTACAGATAATGTGCAGGATTATAAAAATTCATGTACTGTGCATAAAATACTAACAGAATGCCGAAAATCTATCGGGCTAGTTTAATGCTAATTATTAAATAAATTACGTAATCAATTTGGCACTAGAGGTAAGCATTAGGCGCCATCTCTTATTAATATTAATAATTATAAATTAATTAATTAATTTAAATAATTTAGAACCGCTGGGAGAAAAAATCAGCCCGGAGCGGGACTCGAACCCACAACTCCTGCTTACCGTGCAGATGCGTTGCCAGTTACGCTATCCGGACCTCCGATCCGATCTCCTCTTCCAGCGTATAACTATGTAACCATCGACGGTTATTACAATGCCGGCTGGGGACACATTCAGTGCCCACGTCCTACTCCTATAAGGCACTCAACCGGCCATCGCAAGCCCCGGCAAGGCGTAATATATATAA